CTGTGTTACCAGCAGTCCTGCTGATCAGACTGCAGCTCACTGTGTTACCAGCAGTCACTGATGCTATTTGAATACGCCGTCCACAGTTTGTGCATTTCTTTGTTACAAGGTTATATCTTTTGTTAAGAATCTCTGCCTGCACACAGCACACAATAAGGAACTGCACAGACTCCAGCCTGACCACCTTTGAGCCACTCGTCAATCAACAGCTCCCAGGCAATACAGCTCTGTACCAGCTCTGCACTAACTCTAAAAGAATCCTGGTTACAGTCGACTAGTGTCATGAGCCGGGCTCGGACCCGTGATTGTAGAGTAGAGCCTGCATCGTTTGGGCCACTTGGGAAGGTAGTCTTTCCGAGTCTGGCGGTGTCTTGACAACGTGGCCTTGAAATTAATGCATGCTCTTAAAACGAGCTCGGTTGAGCTCGAGGATGGTTTTGTATTTAGTCACAAACCAGTATGCACTGTCTGTTAGCCCCAGCCCTACAGCAGCACTGGAAGATAAGTCATTTTTTTTCACTCTGATTCATTGGTTTCTGATTTATTATAAATGGCCACCGAGATCGTTTCCCAAAAGTGAGAGCTGCTCTCTGCTTTTGGCTATATGTGGTTAAAGTGATCGCCACACCCTGTCCTTAATCCTTAATTAGATCAACTGAACCACTGCTTGCCGAGATGTTTGAATGTTCAGTAAAAGGTGAGGAGATTTTAAAAAGTACAGTTTAACTCTCTTTAGTGTCTCCTGAATTGAAGCCTTCGCCCAGCACTTTCAGAACAAGTCCTTGACTGTAGGAAAATTGATGCAGGGCTAATAGCCCATGTTGTGTAACATGGTATAAACAGCAGCGTTTCAACGTAATGCACTGAGCGGGGCGATGCAAGACCCTATGACCTCAGCAGTGGATCCAGGTGTGATCTGAGCAGGGGGATCTTGAAGGGGTGCTGTGCTGATGCTTCAGGGCTCGGGGTGCCAACACAGGGGTACAGAGGGGTAGAATCAGCTCCAGAGGCGGGAGAGAGAAGAGTAGGAGCAGCTGAGTGACCAGCGAGCAGTGTGAGAAAGCACAGGGGGAGAGAGGTGAGAGGAGCGTGAATGATGCACGAAGGTCTAGGACTCAACAAAAAGACATCACTTTCAAAGGCTTTGCCCCCTGGACAGAACCAAATGAACCTGTTGTTTGTGCACCAGACAGTGACTCCAAATCAAAGCAAAGGATGGATATACAGACAAATATTGCTGGATTTCAAATTATACTTACACATCTTTTTTCAATCAGTATTTTAATTGCAAATTCACATGCTCAAACAGACAAGATTAGTTATTTGTCAGCAGATATCTTAAAGTAACAAACCAGCTTGCATAAGTATTCAGACACCATGCATTAATATTTGCTAGAGCCACCTTTTGCTTGAATAACATCTTTAAGTCTTTTGGGGTGTCTACCAGCTTTTCACACTGGTTAGGAGAGATATTCGCCTATTCCTCTTGGCTGATTTTCTCCATCTCATTCAAGTTTCAGTCTGTGCTTTTAGTTAATTGTGGCCATTTAAAGACAATTGATGTAAATTTCATGGGAATGCTTTTTACTTTGCACTTTGTTATGTGGTTGCTGTTATGTGATAATGAATTAGTCATCTGACGCCTTATCTTTAGGAGAAAACTCCTCCTGTTCCTAAAATACCGTCGGCTAAAATTATCCTTTTCTTGGTTTCTTGGTTTTTCTGATGTCGGCCACCTTTCGTAGGCTGATGTGACAAGCGGACAGCTTTTCCTGCCCATAGAAGGTGCAGGCTGTGCAGGAGGAGAGCTGCCAAGGGTGTCCTGTCAGGCTGGTGCCTCAGTTGAGATTGGGCAGGATGTAGGAGGGGTTGCCTGCAGAGGGCTGTAACCGTCACAGAAGCATGCCTGCAGCCCGCAGGAGTGGGATGCTGGAAGTCAAGCCAGACGTGGTGCATCTCTTTGTATACAGTGAAAGATGCTTTACCTCAGTTTAAATAGGAAGCACCCAAAGTAGATTTCCTAAAACACTTCAGCTCCTGCTGTTAAATCAGTGTCTTGGAAAACCAATTCCTGGGATCTCACCCAGTTTCTTCTGGCTTTTGTTTAAAGGAACTTCTGAATGATGTGACTAAAACACTGAATTGAATCATTGATCGGTTTAGCTCGACAGTTTTCGTTGCTGCGGTAGGGCAGGCATTTGAGGGCCAGGGCCTCTTGATGGCCGCCTGCGCTTTGATCCCTTTTGGGGGAAAATATAAATGTTTTGAAGATATTTTTCCAATATTAGAAGAGCAGAGCCATTTTGTACCTGTAGTAGGGATATCAGGTTTGAACATTAATATCTGCTGCAGGTTCTCCAGAAGTTACAAAGCCAAGTTCCCCATCTAACTCCTTTTAGTGCTATGTGTTTTATCCAAGCTTAGTATACTGTAACTGGTGTTTCATGTTTTCAGTGTTTATCTTTTGGCATGTGGCATCCCTTTGAATTTTGCCTGGTTTGTTGCCCAATTGATCCGTCCTGCAGTTGAACATTTGATTTTTCTGTATGGCTGTGCATTTATTTCCTCCAGGTGTAGAACAAGATATCCTAACAACATTGTTTTCAATAGAATAGAGATGTATGTGATGTATAATGATCACAGCTACAAAGTTTCAATTAATTCTAATTAAATTCTAATTAAAAATACGCAGGGGGCAGTGATTATGTTTGGCTAAATGGGACCTAGTGAAGATGCCATAGCTGCTAATAGCAGAAAACCCAGAACACAGAGTATAATGAATTTTTATATACGTCTTTGTATTGAGGGTATGCAGGGGTTAAGCATGTTTGTCCCTCTCACAATAAATCCACTAATTTATTTTTTTCTCTCTTGCAGGAACAGTTTGAGACCAAGCGAAAAGGTAAGAAAAAATGATCATATTGATTTGTGAAGTCTTTTAATTGGACTTTTATGTGAATGGGGAAACTGCTCAGAAATCTGCTTTCGGTGCTGTTGCAGTGGAGTACAGACTGGGCCCCCTGTCACCGCAGTGCTGTATGTGCAGATTGTAGCTAGCTGGGCACGCTGTTCTCACTGAGACAGCTTCTCCAACATGTGAATGTCATGAATGTGCTCTTAGAGAGCATGTTGCCCTCCCTGCCAGTCTTGAAGACTGCAGTACACGATCAGTGTTGAGATGAGCGTCGTATTTGTTAGCACAATGGTCTGTCAGCCTGCACATGTAGATTGCAGTAGGAAATTGATGCCTTTGGGGATGATCTTTCTGAGAGGACCTTAGGGGTTCTTGATCATGCCTGATTACAGCCTGTCTGTGCTTGTGCTAGCACAGACGTACTAAAAGAGTCTCATCCTTGCATAAACCAAAGGTTCAGAAGGAAGTGAATCAAGACAGCTCTTCCACCTTTATCTTAGAGCGGTTTCCCAAACCTGAGAGCTGCTGTCAGAGAGTGGTGGGTGGCGGGTGGCAGGAATTCTGCAGTCCCTGGCTCGGATCGTGCAGTTGAACGTGTGCACACCACAGGCCTGAGGGGCAGTAGCCACGGTGATCCAGATCATGTCAGGACACGAGAGGCGCCGGGAGTGCCGGTGGCACCTCGCTGTCCGCCCGCGCCTTCATTTGCATGTGACCGCCAGGCGACTGCAGGCAGGAGAGAACTGGCAAACCAGCCTTTTGTGCCAGAGAGACACTGCCTCCCGCATGCAAATCACTCCCTTGTCCCACTCCAGGACCCCCAGCCAGACCCTGCGCTTTGCATACTGACTCCTTGTGCTACAGGGCACAGCTGGACACTCCCTGCCCCCCAGAAACTCCCTGCTGCTGTGGGGTTACAGGCCTTGATGTGTGGGCTGTTCCCCTGGAGAGATCACCTCACCCACCTGTCTGGCCAGCTCTGGCTGGATCAGTTTAGAAAAGCTTGCATACGTTACACAAATTCTTGCATTACGTCTATCAAGCTATAAGCATAATAAACATTCAGGTTTTCTGACTTGACCGGAACTGTCGAGCATGTCCGCGTGCGTGTTTGTATTTAGCCAGTATTCCTACAGGGTATGTGCTGGCCGAGTGCCTGGGTGTCTAACATCCCTGGTTGCATCTAAAGTGCAGATAGATAACAGCATTCATGTATTTCATTTTTTATACTTATTTTTCTTTCAACCTCACTGGTCATTAATACTGCATTTATATGCCACTTATATAAGTACTTAATTACATAAATAAGTGACTTCTGAATACAAAGTCTAATTTTATTTTTTGAAGACAAAAAAAAATCCATTTTGCTCTGTGTGACCTTTTGTTTGCCAGTTTCCCTGTACCATGTGCAAGGCCAAGCTTGTGTCAAGCTTGTGTCTCCTCAGTTTTGTGCAGGGGATCCAGGCTTTCTCAGGGCCCCACTCTCCCCCCAGGTGAAACTTGCTGTACTCTCTGTCCGACCTGCTCAGCAACCTGTCTCACCTGCTCAGAAATCCCACGTCCTCTGAGCCAGCAGGTTTCCGTTCAAGACTCCTGGAAGTCATTCCCGTTCCGCAACCCTGGAGCCTGGCGTGCAGTGTGCTCTAATGCACTGTGTGACTGGCCTTTATTTTCACAATGACAAGTGAGGACAAGAGTGGGCTTTTTGCCTGTTGTGTCAACAAGACAACATCTAACAAAACTGTCTATTTCTTTCGGTTTTCTAGGATTTCTTTCCCCCTTTATCACCATTTCCTCTTTTCTTGGCTAAAAACTGAGCCTTTCTGAGCAACTGCCTTAGTCGATAGCCTTCAGAGATGGAGCATGGAGTCAGACTTCTACTGAACTTGCTGCTTTTCTTGTTGAGTCACATAGGAAAGCTGGGGAGATTTTACCAGTGTCTTACAGTTTCCCATCTGAGGTCTACCATCAAGTTTTCAGTGCATTGTTATTTAAGGTAATTTTACACACTAGCTCTGCACTTTCCGATTGCTGGTTAACTTCTTTAAGAAGGTGTTTTTTTTTTAATTTCATATCTTTGGTTTAATGCGGTCGGCTCCAAATATCAGGCTTCTAGTTTGGCGGCATTCCAATTTTAAGTGCCTGTTGCAGAAATATTAGTACGTAAAGCAGCTGTGAAGCTACTGATGGGAGAGGGAGAAAAATCTTTTTTGGTTCAGATTTTGTAGGCTGCTGTGCAGAAAAGTTGGAGGGAGTTAATTTGTTTGACTTGCAGGTCTGGTTTCCTGGAAGGTTTTTTCATGTATATACTATGTCTTAAACTATGTCTGTTAGCTAGACACTCGGGTGGAAGAGACCATTGTGTGGTTATCAGGGCTCTTGGACATCAGACAAGCGTGTCTTGATTCAGGAGACAAGGGGAGAAAAAAGTCCAGCCGTAAGGATGTGGTTTGTAAAATGCTGGAGAGATAAGTACATCCCAAGAGTCTGCTCTCTGGAGTAAGTGGTGGGTTGGTAAAGGACAGTACAGTGTTCTGTGAAATTACTAACTGCATCCCTGCTGATCTGTCCAATCCACCCAAGTCTGGGCCCTGACAGAACAATGGCCGTCTCCTGCCCAGTGTCAATTTCATCCCACTTTCCCAGCCTCTCCGCGGTCTCCGGGGGGAGGCAGGCTGTCTCCCAGCCCATGCATGCTCCCAGCTTCCTGCCGGCCGCCGAGACAGCGTGACTCTCCTGTCAAGGCTTCCCGAAAGCCACAGTGGAGCTCCCAGCTGGAGCTGGGGTGGGCAGGAAGAGAGCCCCACGGGGGGGGGGGGGTGTCCCGGGGAAAGGGGAGGGCCTGGGCATCAGTCTCCCGCACTGAGCTTTAACATGCGGCCAGTACAGCTGCAAAACTCCAAGCACAAAACGGAGCAGGCACAAACACTTGGCTTGGCTCTTTATACCGCCATCCGCATCAGGACCTGGAAAACCTACACTCACTTTTGTCATCGTTGCATGTTGTGTTTGGAGAAGAACTGGACTACTGTGTCTCATATTTTAATACAGTTGCATACTGTCTTTTTACAACATGTCTCTTCTTTGTGAATTGAATGTAAAATATGTAGCAGGCAGTTCAGCATGTGATGTTGTCATTCCTAATGTGCGAAATTGAACTGCTAACTAACGCCAGTCCTGCTGTATCTTTCTTAGTGTTTCTGTTCATTAGTTGCTCTCTGATTATCCAGCCTCGTGTCATAAATCCAGTGGGTTTTTGCTGCACAGAAATGAAACAGGCATGCAATCAGTTATTTGCAGCAAGAACTGGACACATGGCTTTGTTTTCACATGTTCTTCCACATTGTTTTATTCACAGGGTTTTTCTCTTACATTTTTAATATTTTGCACAAGGTCTTAACTATTTAATGCTGCATGAATCCGTACTGCGTTGGACGTGTTAAAGTTTAGTTTTGAGAACTTGTGTTTTTGGTCCTTAAAACCAGTGGGTGCAGTACTGACACTAATTGGCCAAAATATTGGAATCCCTTCCTTAATTATGTGTCGGGTTTCTGCAGGCAGTGAGAACAGCTGGAATGAGAGGTGTAATGAATTGCACAGTTACCATATTTGCAGCCCTTGGTCCAGCCGGGCATCTGACAGTTATGGTTGTGATGGGAGCATTGCACTGTAGTACTGAGCTGCTCGTGCTGGTTCACCTGTTTGCAATAGGATTGAGGTCTTCACAAGTGTTGGGTCCCCCACACAGTGCTAGTGTTTTTTTGCCCTTCACTGCTTTTGGAAATCTATTGCAATTAAGACATAATTAGCACTCAGTTGGTTTTGTTCTGCAGACCTGCAGCAGCACCAGGGATCCATGGACCACAGTCGAGTGCTGGTCCAGGGGCACCCTTGTGTTTGCTGGTTTCTGTAATCCATTATCCGAAACAATATCCAATAGGAAATGTCCAATACAGGGCAAGCCTGAGCCCATCCCAACAAGCAACGGGTGCAAGGCAGGGTACACCCTGGACAGGACACCAGTCCAGCACAAGGCAGACACAGACGCGCTCACTCCAGGACCAGTTTTCCCAGTAGCCAATTAACCCATCAGCATGTCTTTGGACTGTCGGAGGTAGCTGGAGCACCTGGAGGAAACCACCTTGAACACAGTGAGAACATACACACTCCACGCAGACAGCACCCCAGGTCTGGAATTGAACCCGGGGCTCTGGTGCTGTGAGACAGCAATGCTGACCACTGTGCTACTTCAGGCTGTGTGATCACCAGTCCCAGCTGCTACCAGTCATGGACCTGCTAACTTGTTTTAGACTCTTTTTCTGTATGCAGTCAAGCCTATGCACTAATCACTGTGCTGCTGAATGGCATGGTGTGAGTCATTTAACTTTTGTTTTAACCTTTTCTGTAACTTTTCTTATAAATCACTGACATCAAATACTAGCAATTTTGGTAAAAAAAGAAAAATAAGTCATACAGAGAACAGAAAATGTGCTTTCATGCTTCACATCTGCAAACAGGAACACTTAAACTACCAAAACAGCCCCGTCTAAAAACTTGTGTTGACTTTGCTAATCAAGGCTTTATCTAGTCTTATATCCTGTCTGCAGTGTGCTGGCAATGATCTTAATCAGTAGTAATATAGCCTGAATTTGGAATAATTGTTACTGAAATCTTGTGGTCTGCATGTTACCTTTTCGACATAAAGATCTCGTAAATAAACATTTAAAGGGAATGACGAGTATTTAGATATGTTCAAAGTTATCAGTAATTCCTGTGTGAAAGGGCTGAAAAAGACCATTGGCACCAGCAATCTGAGCAGGGGTGGTACTTGTTTTCTGTTGCAGGGCTAGGAGACCACAGTAACGCTGGGCACTGCTGTTCCCAGGAGGTCAGCTCAGAGAGAGCGTCTCAGTGAGGTCAGGCCTGACTGGGCACGGGCAGTTGATTGTGTGTGTTAGTGATGTGAGAATATCTCAGTGGCCGAGGCA